CTACATATTGGGCCTTGAAGGGTTTAAAAATAAAAGTCACAAAGTTGGGTGTGTGAAAAATAGGGAGCAGATCTGGGAAGAGTTAGAGGAGGGGGTGTTTCCTATAACAAAACATGTTATAGGAAATTCCAAACTCCCCAAGAATTAATAAAAATAAAATAAAATTATGAATTAAAATGTGATCAGTAGATATACTCACAACTTATTCCCAGCCCACAAATGAAAATGCAAAGCATTGGTTATGATAAAATCATTGTGTAGTCAGGCTTCCTTAGGAGAGCTCCCCCAGGATATTTTGAGCATGCTTCTGAAACATATTTCTACCTTTTTTTTTTTTAAAAAAAAAAGTAAAACTAATCACAGGAGTCAATGAAAATTCAAATTATATGTCATGTGTACAAGCATTCAGTACTGAAGAGTTTAAATAGATGCTAACCTATTTCTACTTTTTACATCCTTAAATGATTTGTTATTTAGATTTTAAAAGATTATCTTTCTTATATCCTCACAAATAAATGTTTTATAAAACACCAATGTATGACTTTGTTTTTGCAAAAATCAAAACAAAACAAAGAGAATATTTGCATAGTCTTTAGTAAACTTTAGATTATAGCCTTTCTCTTTATTACAATTATGAATCTGGTACAGTAAAGATGTACCACAGTCAAGAAAACATGTCAATATTATTAAAATATCGCCATCTGAAATAAAGATATTGCACAGATAACTCATAATAAACCTAAATTTTGAAATATTTGAATAATATGAATGAGTATTTGAATAATAAATGATACTTTGAATAACAATATTTGAAAAAAGTTATCTCTAAAAATTAAAAACAATGTTTTATTGAGTGCTATATCCACATTTTATCAATACTACTGATATTCTTTATTTTCAGTAGATAAAAATGTAAGTCACTAAGCTAGTATGTTAAACTTCTGAAGGTGTTTTATTCCCACTAAATAATAATGCAATAATCACAGAAATAAAATTCACCTATGGCCTGACATATATTTTTATATCTACTTATAAATTTCAGTTATTGTACCACAATATGACATATGACCTCTGTAATATAGGTAAAACCAATGGGATGCATTATTACGAGATGTATAACTTCCATGCTACTCAACTCCAGCATTATGTGAACACTATAGAGCATTCAAGGTAGAAGCAAAGTGCTAAAATGGGAAATAACAATGATTAGTAGGACAAGCCATTTAAAATGTCCCACATTACTGTATTGCTTTTTGACATATTTTGACTCTTGCTTCCTCTTCTAGAATATCTGTTAGTCCCTCTATGCTCTGAGCAGATCTGACGGCTTTCTTCCTGTGTGCATATATACACCTTCTTTAACTCTTGTTTTTCCATACACATGCTTTATTTAACTTTAGCATTTTTCTCAAAGATATTCTTTCATTCTAATTTATTAATGATTGCAGGTTTCTGGATTTTAAAATCAATTGTTTTTGAATAACAGATCATATATACACGAACACTCTGACAAACCCTTTGAACTGCTTCTTTTTACTCCTCAGTATTCCCACTCTTAACATCAAAAAGTGGCTTTTGTAATCACCATCAACAAAATTGGATCCTTTCATGTGTAAGGTTAAAAGTTTACAGGCAGCATCATTTGCCTGAGCAGACCTCTTTTCCTAGAGGGTCCTTCTTGCTTTCACTATCCTAGCCTTCTGCTCGGGGTTTCTTGCCTCTTCTCTCCTTCCCTTGGTTGCTTGATGAATTTACCTTTCAACGTAGATTTTGTTGGGTCAGTTATTTCAAAATCTTTGACTCAGGTAAGTTATTTCCTTGCTCAAAATTACTAGTTGTTTTAACCTGCATTATGTTATTGCCTGCCTTGTTTGGTTATTGTTACTTCTTATTTGCAATGATAGAACCAGTTTCTCCACTGCTTATGCTTGAAGTTGGCATCACTTTTGCTTCATTTTCCTATAAACCCTCAACAGTAACCAAGCCTCTGTATTAACTGTCATCTGTTTCTATGTTCCCTTCTCTTTATTGCCCAACAATTTCCTCCTCTTCAAACATCCCCAAAGGCCAATGTTATAGATTTTCCCAGGTACCTTCTGCTTTGTAATCCCATTGAGATGCAGCCCTAAGACTAATTCTTTTGGAATATTCAATTAAAAAACCTGTTTCCAGATGCACTCCAAATAAAGTCCAAGGATTTTTGTAGTATTGAGACCCTCTATGTAGCTGCATTGACCCATTTTTTCAAAGTTCTTTTCCTATGATCTCTATGTTATGACATGTCATCCAAGCAGCATTCCTACATGATCTGTTCATCTTTGTTGTGAAGACTCGTAGAGTTTTTATTAATGTTCCTTTCCATTTATGACCTCCCTATGGGGTCTAGCACAGGTGCTACTTTTGTACTTTGGGTTTCATGTTTGAGATATCATTTATGGAATCATTGGATTATGCTAAGTATATATAGTTCTACACATATTTATTTCCCACCATCAACACTTCTCAGTTTCTAAAAAAATGATGAAACCATAGAAAAGAAGCAACTTGATAAAGAACTCAAAGTCAGTAAATGACAGATAAACCTGAGACTCTAAAAAAATATACCAGCTCTTCTCACCCACTATATCTTGGCCTCCCTTTCTACCCTCTGTAATTCCTCCAGCCTTCAGCCTCTGTATGTGTTCAACTGTATAACAATGGGTACTTGATTCCTCATTCCATAGATATTAAGCACTATTACTAAATCACTAGTCATTAATTAAAAGAAAAATCTCTGGGAAAATTGATGATGTTGTTATGTACTTAATATATATCTGTATCTGGATAGTTTACTATGCTGTTTTCCTGTTTAAAAAAAATATGAACTGAAGTAAATACATCACTGAGATACTTGTACAGGCAGATCTATTATGGCAATACAATTTTCAATAGCTAAGTTATGGAATCAGCCTAGGTAACTCTCAGTAGATAAATGGATAAAGAAAATGTGGCCTGCATGTAAACACAATCTAATTTTATTTGTCTGTAAAGGAGAAAGACATATGTAGTTTTCTGGAAAGTGAATGCCACTGGAAATCAACATATCAAATCAATAAGGCAGAAATAGAAAAAATAAAAAATAATATTGCCAGTTTTATGTTTTTTCCCATTTTTGAGTCCTAAAAATTCCTTATAGAGACACAAAACCATATATGTATATATACAACACACACACACACACACACACACACACACACACACACACACACACGTGTGTGTATACATATGAAGAATGAAAGCAAATGACAGACTTGAGTAAGGAAGGAGATGCTAGCATAGGGGAAATACAAGTTGGGGAGAGGAAGAAACAAAACTGGGGTAAATATGACTACAGTACTTTATATATTTGAAAGGGATTGCTTTTATGAAATCCAGTGCTATATAAGAGTATATTATCAATAAAATTATAGTACACTGATACAATCTTTTAAAGAATAAGGATTATTGACTGCATGCTACTTCCTCTGCATTATCTCTATCGTATATTCTTCACGTGTCAGTAATAACAAATCCAGTGGAGATTAAATGATTACTGTGGCTTTCTTTTGCTAATCTACTTCAGACTGTCTTCTATGTTGTAACTAAGCTCAAAGAACTTCAATAACACATGGCTCCAATGATAGATAGTTTCTTTAGAACACTTCTTTTTTTATAAGGCCCCAAAATGAAATGTTATCTTCACATCCAACTCTATAATCTCTGTAGCCTACCAGTCACTTCCACCTCTGGCATTTGTTCCTACTGTGTCTTTCTTACAGACTCTGACCTGGTACTTCCCAAACAATAGCTTATTCTTCTTGTAATACCCAGCTCAAAACAAAAACATGGAAATGGTAAGATATTATTCCAGCAACAAAACCTTGGATGAAGATACTGTTATGTGCATGCATTGTTTTGGTGCTGTATAAAATCTCAATGGATTTGGTGGGGCTCTGTAGAAGATCATGTCTCTTACCCTAATCATCTAAACACAGTATTAAGTACATATTATACCTGAAAATAATGAAGACAGACTTTTGGAACTAAGATTATTCTCATACATAGGAAATTGAAGTAGTTAACATAGCAGAAATTAAACAAATAGGTTGAAAAAAGGACAGTTTTAAAAATAACAATTTTTTTTATTTTTATGAGAAATGTTCCTCTTCTATTAATTTAAATAAACACTCAAAAGATGATTATGGTGTTACAATGAAGAGTTAGGCTTTTAAAACAGTAACATGATGGATGATGTAGCAATTAGAAATACCTTCTTCGTTAATGGAAACTGGGACAAGGATTTTCCTTGACACTTCCTATGATGCTGACATTCTGAATTGCATCTTATATGCATTTGCTGTACACCCATGGCATAGATTTCACAAGGACATTAACACTCAATCCTCAGTGCCATGAAAAGAAGATCTAAGAGAATTGAAATTTTGATGGAGGTAGTGAATATGCCACATAGCTTAAAATGCTTTCTAGCTAAATAACAGACTCGAGACTTGCTGCATTCTAGCACATTCTATACTTTATATGCTCTACTCATTTAAACAGGATCGTGAGACTTCAATCTAAACCTGAGTTTTTGAAAAGCTAGCAACCTTCTAGCTCTGGTTTATTTCCTACTGCTGGCTACCCCTTTGTTTTCCATTGCTTTAACCAGCATCAAACATCACAAACCCCCCTGACCCTAAAGTTAGGAAGAGATGCACGCATTCTCTCTAAAAGAGCCCAACTGCTTATTTGAAGACAATTCTCCCGAAATGTATTTAATTCTACTTGTAATAAAATTAAAATCATAACCATTTCAACAATGTACTTAACTAAACAGAGGAAGGGTCAATACACTTCTAAAAAGGTAATTTGCCTACGGTGACTAATCAGAGGTGCCGGAGAAACCCAAATTTCATGAAAGAAAATCATGGGTTGGATTAATAGGGAGACAGAAGGAGAATGAGAAAACTCAGGGCACATACATTTCCGTGATGGTCTCAGGAAGATTTGTGGGGATCTCGGTGAGGCCTTTCCCTCGGCAGTCTACAATATTGTTGCTACAGGTACAGGCAGCAGGGCAGTGCAGAACACTGCAAGAGGGAGCCATGAATGACTGGTGACCTAAAAGAAAAACAAAGCAACAGCAGTTAGATTTATCTCTTGAATCTCACAATGGAGAGACGTGCGTACTGTGCTTATCAAAGTTAGTAGGAGACAAAGATCAAGTCCCCTCACACTCATTCATTAATAAGCATCCTCAATATTTCTAGAATATATTTTTGAAAGCATGCAGTTATATCTTGAGATTTAAAAAAAAGTAAGTCATAAAAGTTGTATTGTTTTTAAAATTCAGGAAGAGATTAGTAAAACTAAATTCAGATTCAAGACCAGAATTCTTTACAAAAGTAACAGCATATTTCAGAATGATCTATATCATTTCTAATAAGCTTAAGAGGAGCTTGGTTTTAATCAAACTGATGTAGTATAATTTATTTTGTTTCTGGGAAAAAATAACAGAGGACTCCATCTTGTTTGACACAACGGTTGGTCAAATTAAGTTATCCTGGGCCAACAAATGGAAGAGAAAACTGGATAATAGCAGTTTGATGTCTGGGTAGATTCAAAATGGCTGCTTTCTTTGAAGATATTAGAGTAATTTGTGGGAGATCATTCTGTAATTGTTCATCCAAATGATTCTTTTCAGGGCTTCATCTGATAGAAATTGTTGCTATGAGCAGTCACCTGCAGATGCGTAATTTCGATACTCAGTGTTTGAAAACAAACGTACTCTGAAATCAGATTTCCCAGTCTGGGTAATGAAAACCAGAACATCATCAGCCAGGCTGCATCAAACAGGCACCTGCTAAGCCATGGGTTCTGGTGAAAATCAGGACAACCCTCTGGGATCTTCTGGAAAGGGATCCTCCCACTGGGGAAGTGCCAGGGAAGAGGCTATGGGCTAGCTGCTAAACCCATCCCTCCACACAAGCTCTCAAACTACAACAGTGTTCTAAGTCTAAAAAGTGCGGGGAGGGAGAAAACAAACACACAAAATTGTAAACTTGCCTTCTTCCTCATCTAGGAGGCAGCAAGGAAAAAGCAAAAAAAAAAAAAAGAGAGAGAGAGAGAGAGAAAGAGAGAAAAACGATGGTTAGTAGAGAATGGTTAGTCATTTGCTTGGATTTTTTAAAAAGCAATCAAACATACTGAGACGATTCCATGTCATTATAGGAGAGCTGGGGTTAGATCACAAAGTGTGGGGAAAAAACATTTAAACGCCCAAAAGACATCTTTAAATGTCCACGGAGGAGCTAGTAATTCCTGTCCAATCATTTAAAAATGTGAACTATTTTCAATGCATGGTGGTCCTCTGTTGGTAAACATGGATGAAGAGACTAGGACTTCCACAGAAACCAGAACAAGTGGCTTTACAAATCTGTTACATAAAATGGGATTGTATTTTACTATAGCCTAGGCAAATCAACCCTATAATATCAGTCGTTTTTGGATGACTTACAAAAATGAATAGAATACAAATGATATGCCAATATTTGTTATAATATTGCATTGCTTACAGACTAAAGACAAGAAAACAATGGTAAAGTTTCATTTGTTTTAGAAATGTTTTGATCCTTGGCTCATTGAATCCATGTCTGTGTAATTCATAAACATGAAAAGCCAATTATATAGTGATTTCAAACTTTGTTATGCCTGGAGATGTAGCACAGTGGAAGAGTTCTTGCTGAGACATATGAGGGCCTGTGTTCCGATCCCCAGGACAATCAAAAATTTATGTGTTTCATTATTTTTTAATAAATTGTCCTGAAGCACACCTAGCCATATACTTATAAAATATTAGGCATATACATGTATATATAACATATATATATACATATACATACATACATACTCATATATGCATGTACATTCAGACGATATACGTTGAGATCTTTGAATTTGAACAGATAAAATTGGAAAAGTATATTATTATACACTATATTTTTAGTCTCCATTATTGATATTAATTTATATTGTTCATATAATTGTCTCAAGACGGGCAAAATGAGGCAGCTATGTGTGAAATATTTATATTACTATTTAGACATACAGAACACAGCAAATTGTAGCTACTGATAAATTTGGTTTGCAGACATTTCGGGACTTAAGGCAGTTACATATTTATTTTAGGTAAAAGTGAATCATTATATATATATATATATATATATATATATTTATAAAGACATACCCCATCATTTTATAATTACAGTTGTACTGAATTTTGGAGTAAGTATTCAGGATTACTGGTCATTTTTCACTACTTAATATAAAAGTAGATAATCATTACTAAAAGAGAAAATACCATTTTGCAAGTACTGTTACAATCTAGGAATTTTCTATATTCCCATGGGATGCTAATGGAAAGATTTTATCAATAATTGCCCTAGGTACAAATATCCTAGAATCTAGAACTATTCTCACTACAAAATAGGGTCTCCATGGTGATGAGTGCATGATGGCCCCCTGGAAAGCAAATCTGAAACTTTGAAATTTGAGTTTCTTACACCTGTTAAACTATAGCAGAAAAGTAAAAATAAATATAAATACTGTAACCTCACTGATCTTACCACTGCAGACAAATTCTCGTTTTTGAACCTCTGCTACATTATGTCCCCTCAGATGGGATGGGCCCATACACTGAGTGTACAAGCCCACCCGAGGCCTTTGGCGAAGCCAGTCCGAGAGCCAGGCCAGGTGGCAGTCGCAGTACAAGTTGTTCGAATGGAGTCGACTAAACAAGGGGGAGGAGGTCAGAGCAAGAAAATAGGACACAGTTAATTCAAATATTGTTAGTAAAAAATATATACTTTAAAAAAAATCAACACAAGCAGACACGTCTTAGGGAGTTACTATACAATTATTTCTCAGATAATTAAGCCGCTTCACAAAAATGAGTCAATTCTCTTCCTTTACTGAGCTAGACAAAAAGACAGAAGTAGGACCACGAAATTATTTTGCCTATATTCATTCAAAAGAGTAATGAGAAAAAAGTATCAGCTCAGGGCAAATTATTCTTCATCCCCAACATAACAAAAGCCAGTGCATGTGGTCCAAGGCTATGGGCATGAAGAGGGATGGAGGGCAAGTGTTTAGAACTAAAGGTGTGGCTTACAGACCAAATATCAGTAAGGTCCTGCCATTATTGGTTTCTATAGCAACGGTTTACAAAGGCATTTTAGGATAGCTGTATTTTGCTGAGTAAGATACATAATTCAAAATAAGACAGTCTGTTTTTAACATACCTCTTTTAATTTCTCCCCTCCCTCCCTTCTTCCCCCATTCCATCCCATCCAGTCTCTCAGAAAAGGGATTAGCTGAATTTGGCTCTCAGGATCTTGCTTCAAAGAGCAAAGAGTAAAATTAAAAGGCAAAAGTGGCTGGAAGGGAAGAAATTAAATAAGACCCCTTTATGTTGCCAGAATGTGCACAAGATCATGGATTCCTTCCAAATTGCAAATAGTACTTCTCCATTAATAAAATATCAGGCAAATGTATCCACTAAATTAGGTAAATGACTTCAAACTGGCTTTTACGTTTGCTCAAGCTAAAGAAAGGGGCACCTAATGCTATAAATCAAAATATCATTCCTAGAATTGTCTATGACACAGTGAAACAATTTTAGCCCCTTTTAGCTGATGTGTTCAATTCTAACTCAATAATGATAATGGATAGTAAAACATAGAACTCAGCCTAGAAAGATAATCAGAGTATAAAAATGGAATTTTTAAGTACCAATGATGCCATAGAAAAATGAGCCAACCAAAAGGGAGGGGATTTAAAGTTAAATGATGGCTTTATTCTCCTTTAGTGTGTGTATAAGAACTAGGGTGTCCTACATCAAAACCAGAAGGCATATCCTGAGGTCAAATATTAGATTCTGGGGAAGGTGAGTGACCGGTTCTTTGGTTTGCCTTTGGTAGCCACTGGTGCCTTTTCCATCACTCTGTACCAAATATGTCCATTTAAACACAGCCTCCTACCTTGTCCACATCAAATAAAGAGTGGGCATAAGATATAAAAAATGTTAAAGCTTCTTTGGAAGACAAGCTATTAAAGGCACTAAAATACAATGGTATATTGTTTTTACAGTTTCTGTAGATTTCCTTTTACAGGGATGAAAACCATGGTCCTTTCTTTTCACATACATTATACAGAGTTAATATTAAAATGATTTTGTCAAATATGGTTTGAGTAAGTGAGACTATTAATTAATCTCATTCTCATAAGTAAATTTTAGTTATTAAATTTGTATTGTCCAGGTATCAAAAGACTTATGATTTAATGTACTTTTTAATTTTATTTTTTTAGATAAGGTCTCAGCATGCATCCCTAGCTAGATTGGAACTTTCCATGTAGACAAGACTGGCCTTGTACACATTACCTCCACCTGACTCTGCTACCTAAGTATTGGGTTAAAGGCCCTGCCACCACACACAACTCAATGAGTATTTAAGAAATAAAATGAATGCTTTAAAGTACCAGCTATTTGATTTCTTATTTTTTCCTTTATTTTGTTTATTTTTTAAGGGGGATTCTCATGTAAGCCTCCCTTCTTTGACCTCCCCATGTAGCAAAGGCCAGTCTGGAGTGCTTGAACTTCCTGTTTCCTCTCAGATGATTGGGTGCCAACTGTGCATTCCCATGTCTGGCTTAGTTATATGTTATTTTTAAATGAGAAATATTTTTGAAAACTTAATCAAAATAGACTTAACTGATTAAAAAACACATTTTGTTTCCATGTTTCCAGTAATTCACTTTTTAGGTCTAGGTGATTTTGAAAGCCAGATCACAAGAGATTCATGTCTTAAAATACCAAAATTAAATATCTACACATTGGGGTTTAATGATTAATTTTTCCTGGAGACAGAAAAATAAGCTGTTGCTCATACTTTATTTCACAAAAATATCTTAATGACTGTGTGTAACCCTGGAAAGATATTTTTAAATATAAGTGCTGACACAGCTTTAATTATGCAAAGACCAGTGGGTGATGCCCTGACTTTACATTACAGAGAACGCAGGAGCACAGTTTATCTGTATTAGGTCTGCTTCTAATAGAGTAATAAAATCATAAAGATTTCCCATTTATCATTTCTGACAGCCAATCAAGGAGTCTTCCACTTCTTAATGAAATGTGACCTCTACAATAGCTCAAAGTAAATGTTTTATTTTACTTCAAACTTTCTGCAATGCATGCATATCATTTTAAGGAAACATCACATTTTCAGAGTAATAGTTCATTTTCTAAAATAATATTTCTAGAATTCTTCCCGAGTTGCAGTTTGTTCACCTGTGCTATAATGAACTAATGGTCCTATACCCTGCTTATTAAAAATTGCAGTGAAGAAACAGCCTTAATTAATTAAATCCATCTTTCTTTACATTTCATCTACTTACAATGTCCTAAGTTTAGGCATATGGTTGAAACTTGCCACTGAAAGTCTAGTAATATTGTTATTGTTGAGTGTGCTGTAGAATGAAAAAAGTTAAAAATTTTAGTTAGATACAGTAAACCATTGATCATTTTATATTAACATCAAATATTTCTCATGACTCTATGTAAGTAAATAACCAACATTCTCATAGAGAAACAAAGAATTCACTATTTTAGAGAAAAGGTGATGACTAATTTTTCATATTACAATATATTAATATACATTGTATTTTATTTAACAATTGTTATACATATGTATGGCTTAGGTCAGAAAATTTTACTATATGATACTATTCCATGCAAGCCTGCTTACCATAGGAGAGTCAATTAGGAAATTGCACTTTACATTTCTTTGTTTAATTAGTGTCTAATTAGTGTTCATGGATATGTACACATTCTTGGACTCTTCAGGTGAAATTTCATACCAGCAACACATAATCATTACTATGGAGGACTACTTCATTACTCTTTGCTCTGGATGCTACTGCTAACGTTTTGGTGTAAAATAATCCATCTATACTTGGCATTTTCATCTTTTGGAGATGAAGTGTCTTGCTCTGGCAGCATATTAAAGCTTTGATGTAGCCTGTTTTAGTTATAGCATGGCATACTGTCCTTTGTATAATTCTGTTGGGTCACAATCTCAGTCATCATTTTGTGAGGTAGCGCCAGAAAGAGAGGTGGTCAAAGGAGTTTTGGTGAAAGGTATAATAATCCTTTCTTGATTCGGATCGCTTCTCCTCTCCTTTAATATACATAATTGTCGATTTAATTAGTTATTATTACTTTGAAGATGGGGAAGAGAGTCAATTGAAAGAGAATTACTTTAAGAAGTAAACTTTGTACTTCAAACAGATATATTGTAATAGCACTTGACAAGTAGTTCATGTTGCCTGAGCATAAGTAAATGCTAGATTTGAGACAACATGAGGTGATGGATTCAATGTTTTATAGATGCTCATAAATTATGTATTCTCTCTATGTGACTTTAAGTCACTAGGTTAGTTATTCTATCTGTGAATACATTTTAAAACTAGGTAGCAAAGAGTCATTCAGTGTTTTGAGTCCATAGCTGATGTAACCAACTTTCCTGATAAGTCAAATCCTGATCCCCAGAAAATACTCTGCAGCCAACAAACCGAACAACTGATGGTTTGCCTAAAGAGGGTTTGCAAATGTACGCTTTCTGGTTCTAACACAATTAATTAACAAGATGAAATAAATGAATTAATTACTAGTATTTTTAAGAACAGGTAGGAGATTAGCCTAAAAATTTCCATTTCAAGGTTCCTGGAAGAGTCATATTATTTGGCCATCTTCCATAGCACCAGAGGAATGAACAACTGAACATTAGGTATGACAACAGCAAATATCATGTCTGGTTTACTGAAGAGCATACTGTCCTCCATTGTTAGTCATTTTTGTTTTTTGTTTCTTGTTTGTTTGTTTTTTTGTCTTTAAGAGTTGGAGGTTTTATTGAAGATATTTTAATACCTGACTTTACCATGGTGATTAGAGGAAAGAATAGGCGCTCTGAAAAGAAGAAAGACATCCTCAAGTGTGCCTACACACTCCACAAGGGCGAGTCTTGTCTCTTTTTCTCTGTTTTGCTCACCCATTCCATTTCTTTGCCCCCTCATTTCATTTATGCTAAGGAGTGACCTCCACAGACTGCTGAGTTTAAAAATCCCAGTGCAAACTCTTCACGAGGCTCAAAAATCACCCACCTGGATCATCAGTGTATCACTTTTGCCTGGGCAGAACCCTCAGGCTTTTGCCAATTTCCCACTCAATGAATCATTTGCTGTTTTAACAGATCACTCATAACTCTCCTTCGATAAACTAGTCACCTCAGTTTCACATCACCCCCAGGACGTTTCACAAAATGAACAAACAACCCAAATTCACTCTTATTCTTTCCAATTCTAAGTGTCTTTTGTTTGTCTAATTCATCTCTATAAGTGGGTCTGTTTTCAAAGAGACTTGACTTCTACTGACCTCTTTTCCCTCTCTCCAAATTTAGGCTTATTCAACATAACTACAATCTTTGAAAGCACAAGGCATACTGAGATCTGATTTTGAGATTCTTTTATGAACACTTTCTCCTACATATAAACTAATTCAAATTTTAAGTTGACTCTCTTTTACCAGAATATGTTTTATAGAAAAGGTATCTTGGTGCAAAAATACAAAATATTACCCTTGAAATAATGAAGAACATGTTAGAAATTGATGATGATTTAGCTGCTCTTGTTTCTTAGTGCCAAGCAAGAGAAAGGGTTGGCAGAAAGTCTGCTATTTAATGGATATGACTCACTACTTTCCATTTAATTAACTTATGCCTATCCTGTAGGCAAAAAATATGTAAAACTAGCATTTCTATTTCATTTCTGTGTTCAATGTCCTAATAAGAAGAAAATCACATAGATAAATTCAATTTTTAAGGTTGAGACTGTTTCTTCATAGTACAAATACGTAGTTAATTTTATATTCTATTAACCAAGAATTCCACAGGAACCCAGCTTACCATGAGCAATAAATTGACTCTTCTCTCACCTACTCTGACTTTTCTCTTGGAATCTCAGACTTTATTAACTGTCTGTATAAAAAAATTCTTATCAAGACATTTTATCAATGATCAGCACAATTACACTGTCTTCTGTTGTTGGCCTCAATACTGTCAGACAGTCAAATATGCTCATGGAATGAAAATAAAATGCAAATTAAAACCCTGGGAATCTTAAATCACATATGAAGCTTAAGTTGCTATTCTTCCATTTTTTTTTGCATGAGGTCAGAAGATAAGATCCCACAGAGTCAGAGTTCTGTCAGCTTTCTTTCCGGAACACTGCTTAGTATAGGTCTACTTAGTAATTCCATCTTCTTAAAGTTTTTTCCCATTTTCCTTTATCAATCAAATTATGGAAAGGTTGTTTGAAATGCATTAAATGTATTACCTTTAAAAATGTATATACATTATGTTCACGACATCACAAAATTTTACCATAAACCGTTTAAATATTTTACAAACACACAAACATTTTCTTGTAATATATGATTTTAATTATTTTCATCCATAATCAGGCTCCAATCATCATGTATCTCTATGATATAAAATTAGGAGCTCATTCCAAAGTTTTAGATTTTTATTTAATTTCATGAATTATTATTCTTTATCATGTTGCATAATAGTGGTTACCTCAGAGGTCAAACTTGAGATGTTTTATTAAGACATAATAACAATATTCAATTTTTAATTTTTATTTTATTTGCATATTAATGTTTCCCACAAAGGTCAATCGTTAGAACTTTTACTAAGATGAAAATAACTATATGCACAGTGACTGTATTTCCAAAACTTTTCTGATTTATTTAAATACATAGTTATTATATATGTGTGTGTGTGTGTGTGTGTGTGTGTGTGTGTGTGTGTGTGTAAAATGCTTCAGTTTGTGGTGCTGACACTTTTCTCTCCCCCTGATGCATACTCTCAGCTCTCCTGCCCCACCCCCACATACAGGCAGAACACACGGATTAGAGAGTGGCTTTAAACTAAAGCGGACCTAAGCACTTTTCACCGACTTTCCAAGAGAAAAAAGATTTTTTCAGCAACCATAAAAATGCTTCCTTATACAGAACAATTTATAAGAGTATCATTTATGATTTTTATCAACTCTTTAAGATATTAACTCAGATCAGAGGGCAGCTAGAAACTCTTCTCTAATATGTAATAAAAATAAAAATCACAAAGCAATCTTACTAAAATAAGTTATCTTGGTTGAAAGATTATTCATCTTCAGAATTTGTTTTATTTCAGTGGCCCCCAAAATCCTCAGTTAACCCCTTCCTCCCATTTTGTGGAGGGTGGACTCGATAATTCCTGTAAAACTTTTAACAAATTGATGAGAAATTCAAAACCATTTCACATTCAACACATCAGATTTCTGACTGTGTCTCTGAAATGGATCTCATCCATGGCTCATTCAAATTAGGAATTCAAATTCAAAATAAACTTATAAAACATACAAAAACGAAGTTGACTTACGATGTCATGAAAAACTGCATGATTAAATAAAAACACCTTTCCATTACTCACTAATCACAAAATTCATCAGTAAGTAGAGGTTTAGTTTGGCTTTTTATCTTCATATTTAGGAATTTGGGAACTTCTGAAAGATCTATTCATGCCATGAGGATATTTTATTAAAAAGCAGATCTTTCAAGTACTCTTCTTAAATACAGCGTGTCTACATAGAGACATTTGCATGCTTTTGCCCATACACATCTTGACTCTTTCTGTGTACTCACAAGTTTTTTTTAAGGAGTATTGTTGTTGTCATTAGGAGAACATTTTGACACAGCGCTATCAGACAGTAGCTAAGGCATCACATTATCACTCTCTAGACACAATGCTCCTACAAAAAGCGTCAGAGAAATAAGCAATACTCACAGTACTTCTAGATCTCTTAGAGCTCTAAATGCTCCATCTTCAATGCAGCTGATCTGGTTGTAATCCAGTTGCCTGTTAAATGAATTAAAAGACTCTGTGTAAGGGAAAGGAGCAGAAGCAGGGTGTAGGAGACCTGAAGACTTCTGAAGGGGCACTGAAGCTCTGATGACACTCCCCGAAGTGCTTCCTCACACACACTCATCTGCTCAAGAATGTCACAAGCCATTCTGCCCTCTCTGTGCAGCTACTGAAATCTCTTTTTGTTCCGAACTGTCTGTGCAAATAGCAGCCCTTGGAAAGCTCCGGTAAATAATAACTGCACCTTATATTAAATGCCATAGGAATGCAATTTCATTACATCAAGAAAAGCTATCCATTAAAAGCTTTCAGCGTCATCTCGCTGAAACAATTTCATTAAGGTAAAGGGCTGTAAATCACTTAATGTCACATGCACCCCCTCAGTGACCTAACAGAATCCATTTATCAGAGAAGCCCAGCTGCATGTTAATTTCACTATCCTTGGCAAGAAGGAGTAAGAGTACTTTCGGGTTTCCATCTTTTAATGGCAGTTTCCTTTCCAAACTCCAAACTGAAAACAAGAAATGATGCTGTGCATCTCCTCTCCCCAACCAAGAACACACATTAGAAAGTTTGCCGTCATCATATACTGGGCTTCACTACTCTCCAAATCCGCATTTCTTATCACATACAAATTCTCTCCAATGTCAGTCTAGAATTTTTTGAGTTAAGAAACTTTAGGAATATGATTCATGAAGAAAACTATTTGTTCACTATTAGGAAATGAATTCATTACAACTTAAATGAAACTTTGGGTCTTTTTCTTTAATATGATAATTTTAACCCCAAACAATAAATAAACATCAACTCTAATTATTTCATTACAATAGTGTATAGAGTATGAAAATAGTTTTACCTGTTATTTCTGTCCACTCAATAATATATAATTTAAACAAATGACTCTCCATCAGTGCTTTAAGTACTGGATGTAAATATTCAGTTTTAGAAGGAATAAAATCCATGCCTCAAAGTTGCTTAAGTTCTTTTTTCTTTTTCTGATGTTTGTGTTTGAAATAAAAAAATCTTACTGCTCATGTTAATGAATTTACTTTCAATCTGGGGGAGAAGAAAAGTGGGGGAAGTAGACGGAGGGGAAACTGTGGTAGGATGTCTTGTGTGAGAGAAGAAACTATTTTCAATAATACACAGGAAATTGACTTCCTTGAAAGACAGAACCAAGTACTATCTACACTCCACTCCTGTTTCCAGCAAGTAGTGCTAACCCTGGTGTCGTGATGCTTGGAGACATTATTGTTCCAGTAGAGACAAGATATTTGAATGCTTCATTTGATAGAGAAATGAAATGTTAGCCCTCCATGATTTCTCTGGGAATGTGGATATACAAGAGTGAGATTACAATCATTGTATAAATGTATTTCGTCCTTGCTTCAAGTCCAGAATTCACCAAGAGGCCTAATTCACATTTGAGGATCACTATGAGAGAATTGTTTGAAAATTGTATAAAACAACTTGTCCTCTCACGAGGCTACAGAGTAGAGGAGCAGTGACTTTCTCTGGTGACTTCCAGAGAAGACTCTTTAGATAACTTAGAAAGTATGTACACAGGGGATATCTTATGAATGATACATCTCATTTTTAAACCAGTCTCCAGGAAACACAAGCATAAACAATAGTACCCGATGTCATATAAATAGTACAATATAGGCCAATATAAAAGAAGGTCCATCCTGGGAAAGATAGAGTTCCATTCTGTTTATAAACCTAAGCTTTCCCCAAATACTACCCAAGGCTCCTGATACTGTAATAGTTGAAAGCTTTTCCCACTTATTAGGAAGTAATGCAGAAGTATAATTTCATTTTCCAGGAAGACATTTAAAGCCTCATGATATAATATGGCTGCTGTGGTTCCAAGAAAACACTTAGATTCTTGAGCACTTTTGATTTTTAAAGATTAAATTCATTTAACAATTAAGCTAATAGCCTTTTTATTTCAAAGTGCTAAATATATAACTACACTACCATTCTATAACCTCTTGAACAATTTATCAAAGCCATTTAAATTAGTACAGTGGCATGAAGTGTTACCCTTGACATGCTACAAAAGAGAAATTGTTTCCAGACAAATTGGCAAAATCTTTTAATGCTATCAAATTTGCCTAATGCAGTCTCCAGGTTAATCTGTAAAAGGGTGAGCTGTATGTTTGCCCATATCTTATTATCCTTAGCTGTCAATGTATAAATCAGTGCTGACACAGCTTCTTCTAAATCATGCATACAATGCACAAAGGGGAATCTGGAGCATGCCAGAAAGCACTCAGGCGAATCTTGTTCTACAAGACTAAAAGACCCATCACTTTCCTTATGCCAGAATTTGTACTGTTGCTGGAAACGTAAACAATTGAACTCCTATTTGGTATTGTGCATGGTTGCATGTTGTTCTTGACAGTTTAAAAATATATATATAAACCCTATGGTAAAGATATTAAGAATGTTTGAGTTTCATAGGACATGAGTTTTCTTAAAAGTTTTATGAATGTTGCCAAATCTCAGATCACATATTTCCTAAGAGTGAAAATAATTCATGGAGTTGTGAATAAGAAAAGGAAGCAAAATCTCACTGGTGAACAATTTCTTTATCAATTGTGAATTTTGTGATATTTAAGTGAGTGGCTACAGAAAACCTTGTGCTTCCATGATTGCCCATTAGGCGATCGCTCTGTGCAGAACTCCATTTGTCTACAATGGAGTGCAAAACAAACAGTGTCAAAATAGTGCCAAGCATAATTGATTTTGGGCTTTCTGGACTCTTTTCTTGCACCTTAGTTCTCTTGCTCTGCATATATCCCTCTCAAGGGCCCTTCAAGACCTGGGTGCTTGTGCCTACTATAAAAAGAAAAGGGTCTGGTCTTGCATTTAGAAAAGGCTAACTTTCCTTAGATGTGATTTCCAATTAAAACATGGAATTGTTATGAATTAAGGAATCCAGATACTCTTTTTTAATTCTCTAAAATCCCAATTAATTATTCAGCCAAAATTTTATTCTTTAAAGGGTTCAAATGAGAAGAACATGGGGGGGGGATAGGTAAATTTATCTGATGCTTTTGTTGTACATGAGCTACATTTCACCCATGAGGAGATTCTTCTTAATATTTATTGGAAGAAAGAATCCTACTGTAGTTACATTTTCTTAGCTCTTCATTCAGTCTGGATTACCACGGGTGTCTGTATCTTCTCTTTATAATTTCCACAATGTAACCTTCACTTTGCTCCTGTTCCAGTGGGAAAATTCCACTAGCCTCTACACCACTGTTCTTACTGGTAGAATTGTTTTTTCAAGCCGTGCATGGTTTCAAGAAAATAAAGAAGCTGAACAAAATCATCACCTTCATCCTCATCGCGTTAAGCATTAAGTCCTATGAATCTCTTTTCAGCCGTGGCCAAAGATGCATTGATACACAGAAAGCCCCAGGCTTCCCATATTGGTGGTTCCTACCTTGGGTGACAATAGTCTCAGGCCACACCATTTGCCAACAGACTTGTACATTGAAAAGAATACTCTGTGACTCACATACAGAATATATAAAGCTTGTCTGGTTTTATTTCACAGTAAACAGTCTCTGAGGGTGATTAATGGAAACAATATATAATGTTTCTAACCTTAAGCCTAAAACAGGTATAATAAAGATGAAAGTTTAAACATAATACAGCTGGATATACTGTATTTTGTTCTGTTTAGGTTTTCTTAAAATATTTCCTATTTCTTTCCTCTAAAATTTAGCTACAATACACTATTTTAATCTTACACAGAAAACTTACTACATCGTGTTAAATTTAGATGATTGCATCTCTATCCACAGCAAACATGTATTTTTCTTTAGCATCCAAGAAATAATATTCAATTATTAATTGGTTCTCTTTCATAGGAATTAGAATATTTAAAATACAGTTAACTGTGAAATATCACAGAACATTAAAATCCATAATTATGTGTGTTCCAGGCACGATGTACCAATTTCTCAATGAAGTTTATATGACAATGCCACACTTTTGTTATATTTTTAATTTCATGTGTTAGAAATGGTGTGTTATTTACATTGCTGCTATAAAACAAAAGACTCTAAACTTTTACACAATTTAAAACAAATCAAAGTGGTCAGAATCAATAAAAGAGTATTTTACAATGTAAAGAAACTGGATTTTTTAAAAGTGAATTACAGGAAAAAAAGAGAGGAAAGTCTTTTAATATGGGTATAGTATCTTTTGTAAGGGTAAAATTCAAGTCATATAAAATTGTACATATGCAAATCCCATGCCAACTGTTATTTAAACAACATACATCTCTCAGAATGAGCTCACCAGCAGCAGCCTGCTTTGGGGGCATTTCATGCTTATGTGAGAATCTATTCTAAGAATTTCAAGAATTTGCACTATCTTAGATTACATTCTTTTACAGTCTTTCAGGCAATGCTTTCTGTATTTCAATAACAAGTAACCTCAGATTTCACTAGAGTAATCTGTATTACACACATACATGCATTTGCTAGAATACTCTTTACTACAAACATACAAGCATTTGCTATTTGAGTAGAGGAAAAGAAAAGGATAGCCTACGGATTAAAAAAAAAAATTGTAACAGGAAATAGAGGAAACACAAGTATAAGGATATTTGGTTCCCGTCATTTCTAGGAAAACTAACCAAAGTTGTATGAAACTAAGACTGATTATAATAAATACTTACATTTATTGAACACACTGCATGTTACATATTGATTGTATGCAATCTCATTATCCTTCATAGTAAATTGAGAAGGTAAATATTGCCAGCATCTCAAATGCACAGATCAAATAATAAGACTCAAAAGTCTGAGAACTTATATACAGTAAGTAGCAAATAGTGTTTATCTTTGATTGTAATTGAGACCGATATATTCCCTAAGTCCCTGCACAGTATCCAAAAGTTGAGGAAGCAAATTTACAATGCTTCTCTGTTTCAGGCAAATTTTTAGATAAATGGATGGGCATGATTCAAAGCA